TTTTTTTTTTTTTTAATGAGAATCTGGATATTTTATCATTTTATATTTCAATATTATAGAAATTCTATTTTACCGAAATCAATATTCTATTTTTACCGATTATCTGTACTACATTTGATATTTTAAAAAGTATAAAATTTTTTATAATAGTTCTATTTTATAAAAGGATTATATATTATTTTTGATAGCATTTTAATAATGGAAATTGTAAATTGTTCTATTAAAGAAGAATATGCAAGGCACTTATTATACATATGTTTTGTCATTATTAAATTATAGTTGCTTTATAGTTAATCTTCTGTACTCTATGAATTTTTACTTTCAGTTTTATTAAAACACTCAATTTCACTTTATTAACTCTAGTCTTTTGAATAAAAAATATTCAATAAAAAACGTCTTTTTTAATTACGTTTGTTAAAAATAAATGCTTGAAAATCATACTTTGTGTTTTGAATAGCATATTAATTGGTGAATACAATTTTTGGCACCTGCAATGGTGAAGAATTGATTTTTCTTCACACATTTGTGCATATGTAATTAAGGTTGCTGTTGTTGCATTTGTGCCTGCATTACAGCCACTAATTCTTGCATTCGTCGTAATTCAGCTTCTTTCTCTTGCAATATACGATCCTTCTCTGATACAGAATTACTTCTCTCAGATTCCGCAATTCTGTTGGTAAAAAACTGAGATAAAAAATATGTTCTTTATAAAAATATTTTCTTTATGTTATAATGTCACACTTACGTTTGTCTTCGAGGTGGAACAGGAGCTCCTTTTGCTAGTCTTTCACTGCGATAATTTTCATAATGTACCTCCTGAGTTACTTCTTGTAAATCTTGCATATGTGTACTACAAATATATACAAAATAATAAATAATGAAAATTTACTTTAACTGATATATTCTTGTAAATAAATATTACATACATCAACATTGTTCTTAGTTTTATAAAATCACAATGATCTGGATTTTCAACTTCAACCACACCCCATGGATACAATCGTCCACGTACTTTACGTCCCTTTACTTCTAATAAAGTATTTGCTCCACATACAGCAAACGGAACAGCTTCTTTCAATTGTCTAACTTGTTCTTTGTAGTCTTCATCTTCATCACTATCACAATCTGGTAAAGGATAAATCTTTATACCACTGCCTTCAATTTCCTCCATAACTCGTTTTTTTAAACGCAATACTTCTTTTTTTGTAAGTACATCAGCTTTTGCAATTACTGGCACAATGTTAACTTTATTATGAAGTTGCTTCATAAATTCTATATCCAAAGGTTTTAATCTATGTTAAAATGAAAAAGAAATATAGAGGTTTTAATACAAATAATAAGATAAAACTGCAGTTAATATAAACTGCATTTGAATAACTGCATAATAAAATAAAGCTATAGTTAACATCTTACCCATGACCAAATGGAGAAATAAAGTAAAAACAACAGTGTATTCTATTATCCACTATATTCCTTCTATTTAAACCACTTTCATCACGTAAAAATCTTTCAAATTGGTCGTCTATATATTGTATGATAGCTCTAAAACTGTCTGTATTATCAATTGCATCTCCATAACCAGGAGTGTCAACAACAGTTAATCTAAGCTTGACACCTCTTTCTTCAATCTCCACAGTTGAAGCATCAAGTTTAACAGTTTGATTAGTTTTCTCTGTTGGAGATATTCAGCTAAGATACACGTAATATGTAAATGTATAAATGAAAATGTATAAACAAAGGTTAATTTACCTATAGCGTCAGGAATTACACGTTCTGGATATAAATCAGTAAGAAACAAACTGTTTACTAATGTAGATTTTCCAAGACCAGATTCTCCAACAACCATCAGTGTAAATTCAAATCCTTTTTTTACTGATTTTCTATGGACTTGATTAGGTAAGTTTGCAAATCCCACGTATCCAGGTGTTTCAAGACTAGCAAACTATTAAAAACAAGATAAAGATTGAACTAAATTAAAATCGTGTCGAATCATGCGATATATGTAAAAAGATATATGTCGCTCAGCAAACGATCTCCCTTTGTAATAAAGAAACGTGTGAAAATATCTTATTAAAAAAATCTCATTTACATATCAATTGTATTACACTCACCGTTTTTACGCTTTCACTAGACATTTTTTCGCATCGATTCAACCTAACGATAGGAAGAAGTTAATATAGTTACGAGATGTTTTTTTTAAATATTATCGAGGAGAACTAGAAACGAGGTATATGTGTGTGTGTGTATATACAAATTTCAAGCTAACAGGCGTCGTATTGTGACAGAAGGCATTATTACAGCCATATCCGAAATATACGGCACGAGTAAAATGAACAATAGGTTATTTGAATAAAAAATTTACTGCTTCAATCGACATCACTCTCCTATTATCAGCGTGCATTGAATAAATAGCAGTGTTACATTTAAAAAAATTAAACGGTTCTATTGTAGATTCATTGAATATGAAACAAAGATATTGCACCGACTGTACAGGAAATGTTACGGTATATCTGGTTAGGAAGAAGGAGGGGTACCCTTAATAAGGGAGAAGTTTAGGCGTGGCTACCGAAATAAACTTTGATATTCCATAAAACGTACTATGATTATAATTTCGTTTTTAAATTACAAACTTCTTTTACATAAATTCATGTTAATTACTTAAACTTTAAGTACAAGATATAATAATTGGTCTTAATTACTTATATATTCGTTTGATAATTAAAAGCTTATATTAAAATTAAATATTAAGTTGCTCTTATTTAAAAATAACTTACAAAATATTACGAATATTACACCGTTCTCACAATTGAAATTATGCATAAATTTTATTCCCTTCTCCATTTTCTAAAGATACATTACACAAATAGAAGGCAAACGACTACTTTATTCAGGAAATAGTATCATATACAAGCATAATTTTTATATAATATTTGTCATTAATTCAAGTTTTTCTTTATTTATTATCTCATAATCATCGATCTTTTCAAATGATCAATATTTATTACTAGCATAATTAATTAATCCATTATACAATATTAATGAGTAATAATCGACACGTTATCCTCATACCATTCAGTGATGTATAATTTCTTCAATCACTCAAATACCTTTCTATTCTTTCTAATCTTTTGTTGTTATCACAAGCGCGTAAATAATTGTTTAATATTTCTAATCATATACGACTTTTTATATTAAACAATTATTCATAAATCATTTTAATAAGCACATACAATGATCGGTATTAAAATGAAACATAAAAATTATAAGGGAGGAAATGAAAAAAAGGACAATATTTCTTGTACTCCTAAAAACAAAGATTATTCGAGTACAATATTATTAGATCAGTTTTTATATGGAATCAAATATATGTATGGTGACAGTATATATTTTTGTAATAGTTTGTACACATACCATCAATATTATTAT